ATGTAGAAAATAAACGTATTTGAGATAAGTTCATAACAAACGTAACGTGGGAGAAAATATGTTTCTAGAAGATATGTAGAAAATAAATGTATTTGAGATAAGTTCATAACAAACGTAACGTGGGAGAAAATATGTTTCTAGAAGATATGTAGAAAATAAACGTATTTGAGGTAAGTTCATAACAAACGTAACGTGGGAGAAAATATGTTTCTAGAAGATATGTAGAAAATAAACGTATTTAAGATACGTTCATAACCAACGTAACGTGGGAGAAAATACGTTTCTCGCTAAACGTAATTGAGAATGCAGTTTAGTTCTGTGGGAACGTAATTTTTAGGAGACAGGGTTGGTATTTCATAACTCATTATATTCATGTATCTTCAATTCTGGTCCACTTAAAGAATTTTTCTTTTTTTAACCTCCCTAGCAGTGCGTGGAACCTTGGGTGTACGAACATGTAACAATTACTCCTTCCTTTATCAAGGATTTAAAAACAGAAGTAATTTCATCAATGGTTTGTAGTTGAATTTAGGAATTATCACTTAGGGTAGGTATGTTTTTACTTTTTAACATCTCTAAATTTCAATTCATTACTAATTAAATGGATGACCATTAGGAGGTGGTGACGCTTGTCTTTTAAACTCATAATCTGGTGCCGTGCGCTCCCTGTGAAGCTGCAAGTAAGATTTTAAAAACCACTGCAGGGTGGGTTGAGTGACCCATTCTCCTTATTGGTTGTCAATAATATGCACCTTTACAATGGGTGATCCAAGGCCCCACATTTTTTCCAATTATATTGCTTTTTCAAAATTAAATGTGCTGTTTTTTATTTTAATTTAATTTTAAACTCTACATTTTGGTTGTGGTTAAAGCACGTTATTGCATTCTTTTGTTGATACGTTATATTTGATGAAAACATAAAAATATTAAGAGTACATACAAATTAGGGGGAAAGTAGAAGGTCAATGATAGAAATATAGAATAGGACATATCAATAAGATACTGTAAGTGATCTTTACAATAAAACAGTTTAGTGCAGGACATCCAAAGATATTAATCGGATGTGCAAAACAGACAAACTAATTAGGCTTTATTTAAACATTAAAGAATACTTTAGGTTAAGGTCTTCTTTTGAATAAGAAAAAATCTTTGGGGGTATCTACAGATACATATTAAGGCTGACAAAGTACTTAACGTCTAATATATTGCATCATTTAGTGGGAATGCTGATACAGCATTCCAACTATATGTTATTCTACGGACAAAATATTTATTATTCCACCGGAATTTTGCACCTCTTCTCCTCCTGCATTGAACATCGCAGAAACTCCGTTCAAACATCAAAACGTTCAGCTCGGTCGGGAATCGATGGCTATTACTTTTCTCATTCATAACTTTCATAATTCCAGAGATACATCCCATAATACATCACATTTCTAACATGGATTTCAATGGAGAAATTCTTCAGACTTCAACAAATCTTCATGCGACTTCAACTGCTAACTGTTCATTCATACTTTCACTCAGAAACCTCATTCCAACTTTAAAATGTTACACATCTTTCTGACATTATTCGTGTAACACAACTTTTAAATCTGATTCTTACTTTTAGAGATATTAAACATTGTTCAGACCTTGGTAAAGAGGTTTTCTTCAGATTTGAACATTAACTAGAGTGCGTGATGTCACAGCTAGAGGGTAGGAAATCTGAAATTTGCCTTCATATTTCTTTTTAAAACTGCCATAATTCCCAAACCTTACATTCCTGAGACATAACTTTTCATGACAAACGTAGGAAAACATCTCGTAGCTTGAAAAAGGACAAATAATTAAACAAAATGCCTCTTGAGGGCATGAAGTGACAAAAACATTCAACATGTCTGCATTAACACCCATTGTACTTTCAGGCTGATATTTCCTCACAGCAGCAGCCGCACACTTTTAGTTAAACTGCCAAAAAGGCCACATTATTAACCCGATAGTACACAAAAAGCACACTTCAGATACTCAACTTCCTTGACATGCTTCAAATTCTCTAAAGCAACTACTATGAGCTGCTCCGACCCTCGGTCCTGACGGACTCCAACTTGTGTTTATTAATCAAACAAATAAATAAACACAAGGATAATTGTGTCTTATTGTTGAGTAAATAACAGTGTGTGGTTTAGAAAATAATACAAAATTAGAAGGAAAAAACGAGGAAACAATACAGATTTCAGTTTTCTGAGCCCCTACTCTCCCCCTAACTGACAGCAACAAAAGTCCGAAATTATTCAATTAAAATAAAGAAGTAAACACAATAAGTGTGGCTTGATATTGAGTAAGAAAAAGGTTGATAAACGCTGTGAGAATGGATCTGCGGAGAGCATTTCGCCGCGATCCCAACTCGTCTATTACCAACGTTCAGGGAGTTCTATGCAAGTCAATGGGACTCCCTGATAGTTGAAACTCGATGCTAAAGGGCCCCCCCTTGCATTGGAAAGTGACGACAGGGACCCTGACATAACGTCAACATACAGTAGGCCGAGTTGGGAGTGAGAATGTGTTGGAACAATCAACCTATTTGGTCGTATGAGTTGGAGGACTTGTTGGACATAAGATTCAACACTCACAGACCAATGTATTGCTAGGAGTGGCTTTTGTCTTGACTGTCATGGTGACAGAGAAGTTGAGGGTAAAATGTTAAACAGAAAAATGTCCGTTTTTTAATCCACTTAATTTATCTATAAGCTATACATACACAATATAATTATGGTTTGGATGCCAAATAAAGGATTTAGCCCTAGAAAATGTTTTATTGGTATGAAGCAGTACAGTATATGATGCTTGATATAGCACCACTTTGTCAAACTCATCTCTAAATAAAAACATCAATCATTTAAATTAGGTTGCTATGGAACCATTTCTCACAGTGAGTGTTTCTGCTCCTTCTTTTATTTTGCGTAAAAAAACTAAAACATTTGCGACTCATAACTTTGTAAAGGTTTGAATCCACCTCTTAAAGTTGGCTTGTGTTTCTCGGTCAGATTGCACAGGTACAGTAAACAGGTCCCCTCTATATTTAGATGTGTGCTCACTGTATCAGCTGTGGGTTTCTCAGCATCTGTTACCTACAAACTAAATTAAGATAGGAATGGAGAGGCTGACCTGAAAAAACAAGGTATCTTTATAAACATTTTTAAAAGTCACTTTTCAATAAATAGCTAGAAAGCAGTTGGAGGAAGTCCTCAGATTCTTCACACGAAGGTATCAAACAACAATGAAATAATACTGCTGTCAGTAAAATGTAGTTTAAGTAGATAAGTATTTCTAGACAAATGGATTTAATGTGTCAAAAGTAAAAGGTACACATTGTGCAGAATAGACCATACTAGAGTATTAAGTTGAAGAGTCCAGAAATATAAAACTTCAGAGTCAGAGTTGTTGTGAGACAAGTTACAGCTTAATCCTTTTTATTAGTAAATGTTGATTTCATGTGAATCCCAGCATATCTTTGCACAACTCTTCCCTAAATATAGTTTTGCAGCCATATGAAATACTTTTGTGGTTAAGCATAGTGTTTTAATCTATAACAATGCAAAGCAAAAAGTAAGTAAATATTTTTTGTAATACGAAATACAGTTAAATAATTAGTTTTTCAAATGTAGTGGATTAGAAGTGTGAAGTAACATTAATGGTACATACTTAAATTAGGTTGATGTAGATGTGGCTCAAACCCACAGCACCTCACACTCTGGGACATTGGACTCATTTACAATGTCTTTATTTACTATCGATTACATCTGTATTTATCTATATACGTTTAAACCCTGCACCTCATATTGGTTCTGGGAATTCATTGAAAACTAATGCGCTTTGATCACTATTTGCACTTTCTGATTGGATGCAAACTGTATTTCGTTGTACTCTGTGCAATGACAATAAAGTTGAATCTAATATACATTAACATTATCCTTAAGTACAGTATTTGAGTAAATGTCAGAAGTTAGAAAGCACTTTGCAACAGGAAAATGTAAAAGCTTATATATTATGCATTATTAAGAACATGTTAAAAATGATAATGGCACAAACTACTGCCGTCAATGCAATACAACACGAGTACTTATATTGGAAACAAGAGGCAAGGCAACCAAAACTAAATAAGTAAACTAAACAATTATTAAAGAAATACCTAATAACACAAAAGTGTTTTGAAAAAACACTTAAAAAGATACAAATTCAGCAAGCCTGAGTTGTTTCACAGAACAGATATAATTTAGAATAATGGGTCATACATTTTTCGGCCCCCACTGGGCATATAAAGCAGCATTTTGTATTTTATTTAACCGCTATTGATGGTCTTATATTTATAAAGATATATTGCAGAACTGTTCAACATTTTTATTTTTATTAATGCAGATAGAAGAGATGGTGAAGTGATGACTCATTTATCAAATTAATAATAACTTTATGGAAATACTTTTTGAAAGTTGCTTTCCTTGATATATTAATATTTTATAACTTTATTAATTGTCCGTTCACAATTCTTATCTCCGAGACCTGCTGAAAACCTCAAAAGATTGTTTAGAAAAGTCATCTAATTAAGTTCTATTAATTAGTCATATTTAATAGTGATACAATAATAATAATCCAAAAACAAAACAATGGTTTATTTCAAACCCTTTTTCTTATTTTACTATAATATAAAACAATTGTTATAGAGAGTCCACATGAAAGAAATGTGTGCATTTGTTTCTTTATTAGTCCACATTGGGTATATAAAGCACCCAAAGATCAGGTATACTTTAAAATAACCACTACTGATGGTCTTACATTTATAAAGTTGTTTTGCAGCATTGTTGTGCTACGAGTGAAAAGTAACCTACGTTTAAATGATGATACAAGGGATGGGGAAATGATAGTTAATTAAGAAGAATCTTTTATTAGCTTTATTTCTTTGGCTGCCTGTGTCCTTCATATCAACTCACTATCAATGGATATGATAAAAACAAAAACAATGATTCATTTCAATCAATTTATTTATTTCACTATAAATCCAGCAAAGACAGTTAGCATTAGGACAGACAGTATATGTGTGTCTGCTGTGGAGGTTGCATCGTGGAGTTAATAGGTAGCCATTGTGTTGCGCAGCCACTCAGTCTGCACACACACCTGAAAATAAAAAGATATCAATCGTTGCAGTGAAACATGACATACTTTAAGGAGTGTGATATTTCTCTATTTTTAGGAGATGCAGGGAAGTTACCTTGGAATAGACACCGGGGTGGTTCTTCTCAGCACACCCGTAGCCCCAGGACACAACACCCTGCAGCTCACTGTCACACACCACAGGACCACCAGAGTCTCCCTGAGAGATGTCATTTTAGAGAGTTAAAAAAATGTAGTCCTAGTAGAAAATAAAGCAGTATAAAGTCAATCAGAGATACACACCTGGCAGGAGTCCTTGCCTCCCTCCAGGTATCCGGCACAGAACATGGTGTTGTCGGTCATGCCGGGGTAGGAGTTATTACAGTCTTCATAAGAGAGGATGGGGACGGCAACACACTGCAGCCTGTTGCCGTCAGCAGCTGCAGCAATGCAACAACAGAGAGGGGTGCAGGGGCTTGTTGTAGATTACGTTTTTTTAGACAGTGTCAGACTGTAGCAAAGAAAACCATTTTACTAGAAGAACAATATTATCAATCAACCATTGGTTCAATCTTTTGATCATATAAACCTGGAACAGCTCTTTTTAACCCTGAAGGACTAAATTATATTTTCCTGCAGTACATCCAGAGCTGATTTATCTCTACCCCAGCCTAGCTAGACTTTCCCTACAAAAACAGAACCACTCTTCTTGTCTCCTTTCCATGTAATTTGTCATTTGGCAGGAGGCGTGTGGTGCAGTGGGTTGTGCGTTGGTGTTCGGATCAGGGGGTCACAGGTTCAAACCCCACTGCAGTCAGCATGTCGTTGTGTCCCTGGGCAAGACACTTCACCCCAAATTGCTCCTGTGGGGATTGTCCACAGTATTGAGTATGTAAGTCGCTTTGGATAAAAGCGTCTAACAAGTGACATGTAATGTAATGTAATTTGTTAGACGCTTTTATTCAAAGCGACTTACATACATCCAGTACAGTGGACAATCCCCACAGGAGCAATTTGGGGTGAAGTGTCTTGCCCAGGGACACAACGACATGCTGACTGCAGTGGGACAGTGATATCAACTGAGCCACAGCCTCATATAACCCAAGTGATGTTTTTTTTGTGATTATTTCTTCAACATGTGCTAGTATTATGCATGTTTGTTGTCAATACTTTTTCTTTTGTAAACTTTTTTGATATCCATTGTGTAATTAAATAATAGAAAATAAATCAATTAAAAAGAATAATATTAAATAAAATGACAGTTTCAAAAATCTAAGCTTGTCTGAACTTTTTCTACTCACTGGAGCTCTGGGTGCTTCCCCAGCCGGAGACGGTGCACATGGTGCCAGCGGGGGCACAGCTGCTGGGCAGAGCCACGGGCTGCACGTACTGGTTGAGGGTGGCGGGCTTGCTCAGCTTGATCAGCATGATGTCATTCATGAGGCTGTAGCGATCATAGTAGGGGTGTGTGATGACACTGAGGGAGCTGATGAACTGCTCGTTTCCCTCAGTGACTCCGATGTGATGCTCTCCCATACGCACCTCAATGCGACTGAGAGAGAAGTTGGTGATTAATGGGGGCTTGTTTGTTTATTAAAGCATCAGATGAATATTAATGGCCTTAAACATGTGCTTACGACTTGTAGCAGTGAGCAGCAGACACCACCCAGTTCTCGTTGACCAGGGAGCCTCCACAGAAGTGGTACCCAATATTCAGAGACACCTGATGGGGCTGGGAGTGAGGTGTGCACTCATACCCACCGACGATTTTGTCATCTTCCGCAGCAACTAAAAACAATTAAGACAACAATAAGAGAGCCAAAATGCTAAATGAATACTGCTGTACCGTAAATATATAAAAGTGCATGATGCATTAAAAACAACCTACTCACAAGCAGCTCCAATGAGCAGAACAAAGACCAGGGACTTCATGGCTGCAAAGTTTCATCCAGTCAGTACACTTGCATTCATATTTTATATCTCTTCCGAGCGCCTGATTGGTCCAATAGTTGCCAATGAAAATAAAAGTTGATACACTGGCCGCCAGGTGTAGGTGGTTCATTTCAGGTGACTGACCTTAAAGAACTTTGACTGAAAAAAAAAGTACCCTAAAATAGCTGTAACAGCTGGATTATTCACAGAGAGCCTTTGCTCAAGGCCGACTCGCATATCGGTAATGTAGCAGTGAATCGGGATATCATCAAGAGTGCATGAGGCTTAACAAAGAAACTGGCATATAATGAGTGTACAGTTAATAATGAAATTAATCGTTTTACAGCTATTACTTTTTCATGTTCAGCGCAGAAAAATAACAAATTCTTGTATGAATTATTGAACATTATTTAACAGTCAATGCCAATCCCTTTTGTGTATCAGCTGACCTGGTCCCTGAATCGGCCACTGTATAAGCCAATATCTGTCAAACACTTATATTCTGCAGTGACACGTACAACTGAAACACTGCCATTCAAGCACATCTTTAAAACTGAGCATCACAAATGCCACCATTCAACAACAACACACTCTAGTTTCCAAATCCTCCCAAACACAGCATGGATTTTGAATCTTCAGACTGCACCTGTTAATCTTCTTCATGTCACTCATGCATATTTATCATGTGAAATTGAAGCTGCTCTGCTGTTACATCAAAGCAGCCAAATGTAACTCAGGTTGATTCAAGCTTCACCAGCAGCAGATTTGCACAGAATTCAACACACAATTGACTGCGTTATTGTGCAGAATTCTTCATTATTAAATGGTCTTTTATACTTCCATGTAATGATCTTAATTGTTAAATAACACTTTTGACCCTACCATCTTTTATAATGCAAGTAAAATGCATGTTTTTGAGTTTATCACTGTAAAGTTTCCTTTATTATATTTTCTGATAGTAATTGTGATCGAGTGATTTTATTTTTTTTGTGTTTGCCTCTTGTCTCTTCACTTTATCAACATTTTGTTAGGGTCATTCTATCTAAAGACACGTGGTTTGGTTTTCTTGTGAAAGCCAAATCCAACAACTGTGGTTGTGAACCAAACCATCTGCACACCAGCAAATGTAAAAGTTGAATAAATAATACAATTTCCTGGCAGGCAGTATATCGACCACAATACCTGGAGTTACTTTTCCAAGAGTCCTGATTGGTCACAAACAACCTTTGGGGCGTGTACAGGATGGAAAGATGAGCATATAAACCAGGTCTGCAGGTGAAGGCTATCATCGACAGAATCACTCAGCAACCATGAGGTCTCTGGTATTCGTTCTGCTCATCGGAGCTGCCTGTAAGCATATATTTTCCTGCTGTGTTTTAATAATTTAATTAAAATAAAAGTCACTTTTTTCTAACTATTGAGTCTTCTGTGTGTTTTATCAGTTGCGACGGAGGAGGACAAGATCGTCGGAGGGAAGGAGTGCACTCCTTACTCCCAGGCCCATCAGGTGTCTCTGAACTCTGGCTACCACTTCTGTGGAGGCTCCCTGGTCAGCGCGGACTGGGTGGTGTCTGCCGCTCACTGCTACAAGACGTAAGTCACATCTCATATTACGAAGACAAGATTTTGACTGCTTTTAACAGGCATTATGAAACTTAATTGCCACTCAACCGCTCTTTCCTCTCCAGCCGTGTGGAGGTTCAGTTGGGAGAGCACAACCTTAGAGTCACCGAGGGAAACGAGCAGTTCATCAGCTCCTCCCGTGTCATCCGTCACCCCAACTACAACTCCTACAACATCGACAATGACATCATGCTGATCAAGCTGAGCAAGCCCGCTACCCTCAACCAGTACGTGAAGCCTGTGGCTCTGCCCAGAAGCTGTGCCACCGCTGGCACCATGTGCACCGTCTCCGGCTGGGGCAACACCATGAGCTCCAGTGAGAAAGACCTGCATTTTAACAGCTGGAGTTACGCTATGTTTTTGTTTTCATTTGTGCTATTCTAACCCTTTTCCACCCTCTTTGTTTGATGTGTTACAGCCGCTGACAGCAACAAACTGCAGTGCCTGAACATCCCCATCCTGTCCGACAGGGACTGTGATAACTCTTACCCCGGCATGATCACTGATGCCATGTTCTGCGCTGGATACCTGGAGGGAGGCAAGGACTCTTGCCAGGTGTGTAACAAAAAGACTACTTTTCATATTCCAGTGCACCAAATCCAGAATATGATTACATTTCTTCACAAATGAATTCTCTCTCAGGGAGACTCTGGTGGACCCGTCGTGTGCAACGGTGAGCTGCAGGGTGTTGTGTCCTGGGGCTACGGATGTGCTGAGAGGGACAACCCCGGTGTCTACGCCAAGGTAAACCCAAAAGATCTCGACAATAGATAATCTATCTGCAAAATAAACTTCTATTTTAATTTTGGAATTCAAAGTTTAATCTTCCTAACAAACCTCATTGTTTCTCTATTCACAGGTCTGCCTCTTCAACAATTGGCTGGAGACCACCATGGCCAGCTATTAAGTCTGATCCTGCGACCATTTTACTCTGCTGCCTTTCTTCCATCATTCCATCTTTCATCATAACTCCACCATTGTTGTTGAGTTTTGAATAATGTGCAATCTGAGTAAATAAAATCCTATACCTTGACTTTTAAATCGTGTTTTCCTCAGTTTGTTGTTTGTGTTTTTGTACATCATATCTTCTTCAGAGTAGTATAATGTTTACTGGGATTTTTGGGATACAGTAAAAACAAGGCAATTACTTCTTATCTTGTATATATATATATAGATACAAAGGTTTAACTCTCCTAAATTGATTTCTTTATCAACAACAATACATATTTGTCCAGTGTACCTTATTATTAGATCTAGATCTTCAGCAACTGGCTGGGGAACACAACTAAGTGATCCAAACAAGCAAATTCATTCCAACAGCTCAACATAATCTGGATCCATTAGTAATATGACAAATAAACAATTTGGAATAATATCCAAGAATGAATTATAAAGCTGGAGTGTGAAAAAAACGTCACGAGGGCCAATACCAGACCACCAACTTGTCCAATCCATCCCACTGGATGACTTGTGGCAGGTATTGTCGATAAGATTGTCGATAAGATCTCAAATGCTTAAGTACAGTTTACCGGACCCACTATCGTTGCAAATTGGACTGCATTTTTTCAATTTTCGTGCTTTATTGCCATGCCATGCCGTGGGTTATTAACAGGATTGCAACCGTTCACATTGCGAGTATAATAATTCTCTCTCTCAGCAGGACTCACATTTCACCGCATATAAATTGAAATATCACATTCCTTAATGTATGTCATCTGTCGTTAAGCGAGATCTAAAAAAGGGGGAGCAGGTCTGATTGGGGGTCAAATCGTACCACAGCCTGGGAGCTGCTACAGCAAAAACCCTCTCCCCCCGCTAGTTCAACCTCGACCTCTAACCACAAGGAGAAATATCTCAGTAGACCTCAGTGACCTTGAGGATGTATAGGATTGTAGAAGTGCTGCCAGGTAAGGTGGGGCCAAACCATTAAGAGCTTTGTAGGCAAACAATACAATTTTTTATTTGATTCTAAACTTTATCGGTAGCCTAGTGTAGAGATGCGAGTACAGGTGTAATGTGCTCATGCATTTGGTTCATACTGTATTGTCCTTATGATACTAGTATGTGCAGTTGATATTAAGTACTTGGTTACTTGGTCTAGTATGCATAGAATACAAGATATTACAGCTTCTTACATTTATTTAACTAAAATGTAACATTTTATACTTCTACTCCACGATAGTTAAAAGAAAACTATTTCACTTTTTTTTTCAGGAATAGTTACATTTGTTACAAGTAGAATGACTTACTACTTATAATGTGTTATTATAAATTCAAGGTGCAGACCGACAATGAAAGTTATTTTGGCTGATAAACTAAATTCAGGTTGGAGTTGTGCAAAGGTCAGCTATGATTCATATGAAGTCTGCAAGAACTAATATTGAGAATAAAGTAATTATTTGTCTCAAAAGAGTATATTTTGGGATTTATGCAACTCTGCAATGGGCTGTTCTGCATGGAAAGAATGATTTATTTTTCTTATTTTAAGTAGATTATTCTGGTAATACTTTTCTACTTTTACAGAGATATAATTTAAGTTGCAGAACCTTTACTCTAAATAGGGTTAGTTCTTACTCAAGCACTGCTTTCTAACTATTTATTGAATTTGAAAAAAAGGCAAAAAATTGTTTTCAAGGTAAGTAACAGATGCCGAAAAACCCACAGCTGTGAGATACAGTGTCCATACATCTAAGTATAGAGGGGACCTGTGTACGCAATCTCACCAGAGAAACACAAGCCAACTTTATGAGGTATGTATAAGAAATATTGTAAGAATCACTCATTGTGAAAAAGGTTTACAAAGCAGGCTTGCATTTAAATCTGTGATGTTTTTGTATAAGAATAAGACAAAGTGGTGCTAAATCAAACTCCATATACTGCTGAGTAGCAAAACATTATGTTCTAGAGCTACGTGTAGATCATTTATTTTGCATCGAAAACCATAATTTTACTGAGAAATAGATACATTGAAAAGTTTTTTTCTGTAATTCTGGAAATGAATCACCTAACTCCAACCTCCTGCAGCAGAGATTGGCTCCTTGCTGACCAATGAGGGGGGCTGGACAGCAGGGCAGCTCTCCTGACTGAGGATATAAACCAGGTCTGCAGGTGAAGGCTATCATCGACAGAATCACACAGCAACCATGATGTCTCTGGTCTTCATTCTGCTCATCGGAGCTGCCTGTGAGTGTGAAGCTCCTATCGAGCCGATTGCCTTCCTCTCTGCTGACAGTCTGTCGGCCATTATCCCAAAACTTAGTGCAGAATAACCAGAGCATGTGCCTAAAGCCAAGGATTTTTTTTAATTAGAGATCAGCTCTTGGATCTTTGTCAAACCTCAGTACTCAAATGAACAATGTGCACTTGTTCTACATTTAAATAGATGTCTGTCTGTCTGTTTTTTTAAAGAGTAGTATCAAACAACTAACTTGATGCTGATGTGTGTTTTCTCAGTTGCCACGGAGGAGGACAAGATCGTCGGAGGGAAGGAGTGCACTCCCTACTCCATGCCCCATCAGGTGTCTCTGAACTCTGGCTACCACTTCTGTGGAGGCTCCCTGGTCAACGAGAACTGGGTGGTGTCTGCTGCTCACTGCTACAAGTCGTAAGCACATTCCTCATGTTTTCCAGGGTCATATGATTGATTGACTAACCTGTGGGGCACGCACATTAATATTTGATGATCAGTTGTCTGTATTTTGTTACTAATCCAATCATTTCCATTTGCTTTTAGCCGCGTGGAGGTTCGTATGGGAGAGCACCACATCAGGGTCACCGAGGGAAACGAGCAGTTCATCAGCTCCTCCCGTGTCATCCGTCACCCCAACTACAGCTCCTCCAACATCGACAATGACATCATGCTGATCAAGCTGAGCAAGCCCGCCACCCTCAACCAGTACGTGAAGCCTGTGGCTCTGCCCAGAAGCTGTGCCCCCGCTGGCACCATGTGCACCGTCTCCGGCTGGGGAAGCACCCAGAGCTCCAGTGAGTAACACCCGCATTTTAACAGCTGGAGTTACGCTTTATTTTTGTGTCATTTGTGCTATTCTAACCCTGTTTTACAAAATTACAGCTGCTGACGGCAACAAGCTGCAGTGCCTGAACATCCCCATCCTGTCCGACAGGGACTGTGATAACTCTTACCCCGGCATGATCACTGATGCCATGTTCTGCGCTGGATACCTGGAGGGAGGCAAGGACTCTTGCCAGGTGTGTAACAAAACAACTCTGCAGGACTCCTTTTCCTATAACAATGCATCTTAGTTGCATATACAGAACATTTGTACATTTCTTCACAAATGAATTCTCTCTCAGGGAGACTCTGGTGGACCCGTCGTGTGCAACGGTGAGCTGCAGGGTGTTGTGTCCTGGGGCTACGGATGTGCTCAGAAGGACAACCCCGGTGTCTACGCCAAGGTAAACCAAAAACATTTCTACAATGGAAGACATGAAACTTATATTTCGCAATGAGCATGCCTAGTAAAAATTAATCATATTTGCAAGTTTTCTAAAAACCTCATTGTGTCTCCATTCACAGGTCTGCCTCTTCAACGATTGGCTGGAGACAACAATGGCCAACTATTAAGTCTGATTCTACGATCACCATCTTAGTCTTCTGCCTTTCTTCCATCATTCTAACTCCACTGTTGTTGTTGAGTTTGGAATAATGTGCAATCTGAGTCAATAAAGTCCTACACCTTGACTTTTAAATCATGTTTACCTCAATTCTTTGTTTGTGTTTTTATAAATCATATCTTCTTCCCAATACTTTTAAATTACTTCTTAAAAGATTTGCTTAAAGGGATTTTTGGGATACAGTAAAACATGGCAATAACTTAAACATTAATAAACATCCAAAGCATTGAAATAAAAAACGTTGCAATGTTAACAAAACATGTTGTTAACATTGAATGTTATATTTGATGAAAACATTTAAATATTAAGAGTAGCCTACATACAAAATAGGGGGAAAGTAGAAGGTCAATGATAGAAATATAGAATATAAAATATCAAGAATATACTGTAGTGATCTCTACAATAAAACAGTTTAGTGCAGGACGTCCAAAGATATTAATAGGAGGATGTGCAAAACAGACAAACTAATAAGGCTTTATTTAAACATTAAAGAATACTTTAAGTTAAGGTCTTCTTTTGAATAAGAAAAAAACGTTGGGTATCAACAGATAAATATTAAGTCTGACAAAGTACTTAACGTCTAATATATTGCATAGTTTATTTTGGCACTTGACAATCACCTTCCCTGAATTTGACTCAGGTGTAACTAAAGTCTGCTTTAAGGGTTGTATATATTTCACATCTTTAATCAGAATCTGCAAAGTAACTAAAATAAATGTAGTGGAGTAAAAATACCAGGTTAACCACTGAACTGTAGTGGAGTAGAACAAAGTAGTACATGCTGCTGTAACAAAAACATTTCCCAACTTGGGATCAATAAAGTATATCTTATCTTATCTTATCTTAAGATGATCGATGGCTACTGCCATATTTGCAAAATGTGCCTCTGAACCTTGACAAGTGCATGTTTCAGGCTTATCAATTAACAACAGGAGGGGTCACAGACATAAGACCAGCTCTTAAATAAAGCTCTTCTGACCTTAGCTGTCATGTGGGTATATTAATGCTGCCCATTATGGACACAAGCAATTTTCACCCATTTATTAATTATATGTTTTAAATGTGATAACACCACTGTGTTTCCCATCCCCTAAACCTCCAGGGGTGTACACAGTTTAATACTGGTAACTTCTAATTATGGGAAATACGAAAACGTCTTTTAAAATTACAATTCCCAGTAGAGACGTGCCATAGAACATGTTGCGAAACACACAATATCCAGCATGTGTAGTTCTGGGGGGGGGGGGGCTGGGCTGGACGCGTCCGAGTCCAGTTTTGGATAGTCTGCCGTGGTTCCATTCCATTTCAAAGAGCTGTTTGACGCTCGGCGTAACCTTGTCGCACTGCCACTCCAACATCCAATCACAGAGCTTGAGGACTAATCACGGGGTTTGTAAAGCCAGGCGGACGATGTAGTCCCAAACGATAGCTGGGGATTATGGGTAGTGTAGTGTCTTCGGAAACTCTGTAGTGTCTAAACTCCGAAAAAACTATTTGTTTTCACCCCGTGAGGGTTAACGCTAACTTTACATGGAAGCTGCCGCATATACACGTTCTCCTGGCGAGACCTCAAATCATCTTCGTAATATCTATCAAACTATAGATCCTACACATCCACTGGACATAGGTTATAAAAGTACAATATACACTTCTCGCTAGAAATCTAATCAAAAAGCATTTTAATGGCCAAATTATTGCACAATTTAGGATTTTCCAGAGAGGGTTATTTGTGAATAAAAGAATCTCCGGAGCGTTTGCAATCAACGGGAGCATGTTGTTTCTTACACGACCACTAGAGGTGCTACACTTTAAAACGTGACTCTGGGTCGTAATATGCTGCTGAACAATCAACCTATATGGTCGTTCTTTGTAGGAGGACAGGCTGCTCTTTAACGTCTAAATGCTACCACTGGCTTAGATAACGAAAAACAGCTTCTTCAGAGTACTGCTGCCCGAGTCCTCACTAACACTTAGAAAGTGGATCACATCACTCCAGTTCTGAGGTCTTTGCACTGGCTTCCTGTCTGTCAAATAATTGATTTCAAAATACTGCCGCTGTTTTATGAAGCACTGAATGGTTTAGGGCCAAAATACATTTCTGATCTACTGCTAAATGATGAACCATCCAGAACTCTCAGGTCTTCTGGGACTGGTCTGCTTTCTGTTCCCAGAGTCAGAACTAAACATGGAGGAGCATTGTTTAGTTAATATGCTTCATATCTGGAACAGACTCCCAGAAACCTGCAGGTCCGCAGCAACTGTTCTATTTTTAAATCCACGCTGAAGATTTTTCTTTTTGCCGCTGCTTTTAATTGAACTATTCATAACACTGCACTGTAACTTTTGTTCATGTATTTTATACCTGTAATATTCTATATTAACTTGTTTAATGTTTATTTTATTCACTTCGCTTTTTAATGACTGTTTTTAAATGCCATTTTATAGTATGTTTCCGCTGCACTATTACTTATTGCCCTTAAAGTTGTTAATATTTTTGTAAAGCACTTTGAATTGCCTTGTGTTAAAAAGTGCTATATAAATAAACTTGCCTTGCCTTATAAAAGTGAGACCATCAGTTCAAGTATATTTGATTTTCTTCCTCATTTGGGCGCTTTGTATGCTTTGTAGGCCCATTGTGGACTCTACCTTTTTTCAAAATAGGCCAACACATCATAATTTAGTTTTTATGTAACAGAAGCTGAGAAACCCACAGCTGTGAGATACAGTGTCCATACATCTAAATATAGAGGGGACCTGTGCACCTATGCAATCTGACCAGAGAAACACAAGCTAACTTTAAGTAGTATATAATACATTATATTAGTTGCAAAGTTAGTTATTTTTAAGCAAAATAAAATAAGTAGCAGAATCACTCATTGTAAAAATGCTTCCAAAGCAGGCTTGCATTTAAATATGTTATGTTTTTGTATAAGATAAGACAAAGTGATGCTAAATCAAACTCCATATACTGATCAATAGCAATGAATCAGGTTATAGAGCTAGATCATGTATTTTGCATCCAAACCATGATTCTAGTGATAAATTCCAGATTAAAGATCAAATAAGAAGATTAAAACACTGAACTTTAACTCTGATCGTTTCATATTGAACCCTTCTCTGTCATCTTGATAGTCAAGCTAAAAGCCACTCACATGAATACAACAATTAGATGTGCTATAAATGTTGAACATATGTCATGGGCAGAGATGGGGTCGTTACTAAAAAAAAGTAATATATTACATATTACTTTAAAAAAAAGTAATATATTACACTACTTCGTTACTCTCTACATAAAGTAACTCGTTACTTTACTCGTTACTTTACTCGTTACTTTACTCGTTACTTTACTCGCAGGGCTGGCCCGCCCCTCCCTACAGGCAGATCACGCAGACTGCTAAAGTTTCAAATGCTCTCTTTAGTTCAGTTTCCATTGTCGCATAAGACTGATCCAGATAGCTCTGACCATGGCTGTCCTCTGTCTCCTGCTATCTGTATTTTGCGCAGTATATCTCTGAACGATGCGATGGTGATTCCACTGTGCAAATGGGCAACATTACCTCTACTATGAAGGATGCTACAAGCCTGTCCATCTCTGCTTTGGTTACCGGTCCTCCAAATTCTTGCGGCGGCGCACTCACAACATCCTCACTCTGGGTTCGGGGGTCCGGTCCTTAGCTATTAGCTTCACCTTAGCATGTGTTCTTTGCAGGTGTTTGTTGAGGTTTGACGTGGTGTTTGCAGCAGTGTATAACAGCTTCTGGCCTGGACACAGTTTGCACCTCACTGTCACATTCCTGTCTATTCTTCGGACGAACTCAAAATAATGGGCATACCTCCACCCCTCGAAAGTTATCGCTGACTCAGCCATGTTTATGCAGCACTGCACGCGGAGATGTGGACGTGCAAGTCGCGCAGATTACGTACATATAAACCTGCGGCGGAAACCCCTCTTGTCTGTCAGTGTGATTATGACAGATTTTATAAAAGTAACGAAGTAACGCGTGTCGGGGCAATGTTAGTAACTGTAGTGTGATTACTGAATTATAAAAGTAACGCTTTACACTACTCCGTTACCGACAAAAGTAATATTATTACAGTAACGCGTTACTTTGTAACGCGTTACACCCAACTCTGGTCATGGGTGGCCATTAGTAATTTAGTCTTTTATAATAACGCCATTAGATTATGTTTTTATTATAGTATTGTTTTTTTGTTCTACATTGTTGAGCTTTAGTCTAAGCACCCATAACAAAAACAGGTTAAAACAATTGCATAGTGCAGATATTAGTCATTATAGAAAACGTATTTTGACATGTATTGTCATGAAGTAAAAAATACATTTATGGAAAAGGGCACAATATTCTCCATACTCTCCCTTTTACACTTTTACAAATTTAGCTGACGAAAAAAACATGCTTATTTCTACGATGAAAAGTGTTTTTGATGTGATTCTGGAAATAAATCACCTAACTCCAACATCCCACAACAGAGATTGGCTCCATGCTGACCAATTAGGAAGGCAGGACAGCAGGGCAGCTCTCCTGACTGAGGATATAAACCAGGTCTGCAAGTGAAGGCTATCATCGACAGAATCACACAGCAAACATGATGTCTCTGGTCTTCATTCTGCTCATCGGAGCTGCCTGTGAGTGGGAAGCTCTTATCGAGCCGATTGCCTTCCTCTCTGCTGACAGTCTGTCGGCCATTATCCCAAAATTTAGTGCAGAATAACCAGAGCATGTGCCTAAAGCCAAGGATTTTTTTTAATTAGAGAACAGCTCTTGGATCTTTGTCAAACCTCAGTACTCAAATGAACAATGTGCACTTGTTCTACATTTAAATAGATGTCTGTCTGTCTGTTTTTTTAAAGAGTAGTATCAAACAACTAACTTGATGCTGATGTGTGTTTTCTCAGTTGCCACGGAGGAGGACAAGATCGTCGGAGGGAAGGAGTGCACTCCCTACTCCATGCCCCATCAGGTGTCTCTGAACTCTGGCTACCACTTCTGTGGAGGCTCCCTGGTCAACGAGAACTGGGTGGTGTCTGCTGCTCACTGCTACAAGTCGTAAGCACA